GTCTGATCGATGTTTATAAACAATGTTACTTTGTATCTTTCTATCTCTTGTCTGTTTATAAACAAAGTACCTCCACCTCAATAGACTCGGTCTGTGATAATCAAACTGACGGTGAGAGTGACCTTGTGGCTTTAATACCGATACATATACATCGTATACATTGTGTCGGACACCATTTAGCCATTTTTAATGTTAATTAAGATGTTATGAGTGCATTCATAATTTGTATGTTTTAGATCTTTTTGGTTTATAATAAAATGTATATTTGTTACGATACAATCATGGTCTCCTAAGCCACTCTTGTCACATAGGTATCCACTTTTCTGCTTCGGCTCCTTGCTGAAGGACCTCCCCTTTTTGGTACAATGAATAGCACTGAATGCAGTGATTTGGCAAAACCAGTTTTTGACTGATAGGCGGATCTTTTGGTAATTCATTTTACACCTCAAATTTATTGTCGTGTTCTTCAAAACATTCTTGAACCATTTCTGCAGTGTGGCAGGACGCATTATCCTGCTGAAAGAGGCCACTGCCACCAGGGAATACCGTTTTCATGGCGGGGTGGACTTGGTCAGCAATTATGTTGGCAGGTGGTACGAGTTGAGTAACATCCACATGATTGGAGGAGCCAAGGTTTCCCAGCAGGACATCGCCCAAAGCCTTGCCTTCTTCCCATACTGCATTCTGGTGCCATCTCTTCCCCAGGTAAGTGAGACACACCCACCCAGCATCCACATGATTGGAGGAGCCAAGGTTTCCCAGCAGGACATTGCCCAAGCACCAAACTATCTCTGTGGCTTGCCTTTTCCCATACTGCATTCTGGTGCCATCTCTTCTCCAGGTAGGTAAGTGGCGCACATCCACCCAGCATCCACATGATTGGAGGAGCCAAGGTTTCTCAGCAGGACATTGCCCAAAGCCTTGCCTTCTTCCCATACTGAATTCTGGTGCCATCTCTTCCCCAGGTAAGTGGCGCACATCCACCCAGGCATCCACATGAATGGAGGAGCCAAGGTTTCCCAGTAGAACATCGCCCAAATCTCTTCCCCAGGTAAGTGACGCACATCCTCCTGGCCATCCACATGATAAAAAAGATAAAGTGATCCATCAGCCCAGGCCATCCACATAAATGGAGGAGCCAAGGTTTCCCTGCAGAACATTGCCCAAAGCATCACATGGCCTCCACAGCCTTGCCTTCTCCCCATACTGAATTCTGATGCCATCTCTTCCCCAGGTAAAGTGGTGCACATCCTCCCAGCCATCCACATGAATGGAGGAGCCAAGGTTTCCCTGCAGGACATTGCCCAAAGCATCACATGGCCTCCACAGCCTTGCCTTCTCCCCATACTGAATTCTGATGCCATCTCTTCCCCAGGTAAGTGGTGCACATCCTCCCAGCCATCCACATGAATGGAGGAGCCAAGGTTTCCCAGCTGGACATTGCCCAAAGCATCACACTATCTCTGTGGCTTGCCTTCTTCCCATACTGAATTCTGGTGCCATCTCTTCCCCAGGTAAGTGGCGCACATCCACCCAGGCATCCACATGAATGGAGGAGCCAAGGTTTCCCAGTAGAACATCGCCTAAATCTCTTCCCCAGGTAAGTGACGCACATCCACCTGGCCATCCTCATGATGAAAAAGATAAAGTGATCCATCAGCCCAGGCCATCCACATGAATGGAGGAGCCAAGGTTTCCCTGCAGGACATTGCCCAAAGCATCACATGGCCTCCACAGCCTTGCCTTCTTCCCATACTGAATTCTGATGCCATCTCTTCCCCAGGTAAGTGGTGCACATCCTCCCAGCCATCCACATGAATGGAGGAGCCAAGGTTTCCCTGCAGGACATTGCCCAAAGCATCACATGGCCTCCACAGCCTTGCCTTCTCCCCATACTGAATTCTGGTGCCATCTCTTCCCCAGGATAAAGATAAAGTGTTCCATCAGCCCAGGCCACCTTCTTCCATTGTTCCGTGCTCCAGTTCTGATGCTCATGTGCCCATTGTAGGCACTTTTGGCCATGGACACGGGTCAGCATGGGGCACCTTGACCCATCTACGACTACACAGCCCCCATACACAACAGACTGCTTTGCCCATTTTTTTTTTGCTTTCAACACATCAGCTTCAGGGACAACATGATCTCTTGCTGCCTCATACATCCCACTCACTGTCAGATGCCATTGCAACACGATAATCAAAGTCGTTCACTTTTACCTGTCAGTGATCATTAGGTTACGGCTGATCGGTGTTTATGCAAATGAACGTTTTTGCGTCCGGAGTTTAGCTTTAACTTCCCCGCCATGAGGCAACACATTATTGATATTTGTTTGGAGTGGTGGGAGCGCGGCGGCGCATATGACGCACGGAATACACGCAATCATAAACTAGCACCTGGAACTTCCCAACTGTCTACAAAGAAACTAATTGCTGATTGCTAATTGCCGAGGCCAAAACCAAACCTGGCGGAACGCGGGATCCAGCTTCCCCCTCTCCCTCTGCAACGCTCCTTGAGATATTGCCAATTATTCTAGTAACTAACCAGAGAAAAAGGTCCTGCGCTTCCAATTTGTAATCTGCGATTGCACGCCATCTGTGTCTGGAAACGTATTTGCCAGTTCGAGAAATTGTTTAATCTGATTGTTTTGGGTTTTTTTATTAGTTCGGAGCATATGCCGGGAGCCTCCTTGTCACTCAGAAGTCGATTGTTCCAGCGGTTCGGTTTCGCATGGCGTACAATGAAATAGCGGCTTCGTTATTTTATTTATTTTTTCGGGAAAACCGAGAAGGTCACCGTGGTTACCTGGAGGCTCCGGGATGTGATTGTGTAATGAGTAACGCGGCTTTTGAGAGATGACAATGGAAACTGCCGGAGAAATATTATTTCATTTCCCGGCAGATACGGGAGGAAATATTCTCTCCAAACGTATAATGGGAGCCGATGCCTTCCCGGGAAGGCTGCTCTGTAGTCTGCTCCGGCCTTTGTGTCCCTCTATGTTCCCCAGATTCTGTGCAGCTCTCTCAGTATTGTTACTGATGATTAGTAAATGTGAGCGGCTGCAGGTCCAGGAGATCATAACCCGCTGAACTGTCTGCTGTGAGTCACCAGTGTGTGAGCCTCTGTCAACGGCCTTTCATCAGATGGATATTGCATTCCCATACACGTCTATAGGAATTCAAACTCTCAAAGCAGGTCAACTCCAAGTGAGAAGGAAGTCAGCTGCAGGCCAAGAGGAGGTCAACTGCAGATCAGAAGGAAGGCAACTGCAGGTCAAAATGAAGTCAACTGCAGGTCAGGAACAAGTCAACTGCAGGTCCGAAGATAGTCAACTGCAGGCCAAAAGGAAGTCAACTGCAGGTTAGAAAGAAGTCAACTGCTGATCAGAGGAAGGCCACCTGCGGGTCAGAAAGAAGTACACTGCAGGTCAGAAGGCGTCCACCTGCAGGTCAGAAAGAAGTCCACTGTAGGTTAGCAGAAGGTAAATTGGAGGTCAGACACAAGTCAACTGAAGGTCAGAAGGAAGGCAACTGCAGGCCATAAGGAGGTCATCTGCAGGTCAGAAAGAAGTCAACTACAGATCAGAAGGAGGCCATCTGCAGGTCAGAAAGAAGTCAACTGCAGGTCAGAAGAAGGTAAATTGGAGGTCAGGAATGAGTCAACAGCAAGTCCAATGTAAGTAACCTTAAGGTAAGAAGAAGGTCAACTGCAGATCAGAAAAAAGTAAATTGGAGGTCAGGAACAAGGCAGCTGCAGATCCGAAGATAGTCCACTGCTGGCCATAAGGAAGTCAACTGCAGGTCAGAAAGAAGTCAACTGCAGATCAGAAGGAGGCCATCTGCAGGTCAGAAAGAAGTCAACTGCAGGTCAGAAGAAGGTAAATTGGAGGTCAGGAACAAGTCAGCTGCAGATCCGAAGATAGTCCACTACAGGCCAGAAGGAAGTCAACTGCAGGTAAGAAGGAGGTCAACTGCAGGTCAGAAGGAGATCAACTTCAGGTCAAAAAGAAGCAAAGTGCACCTTTCTTCACTTCCAGTTTACTTGGCTACAAACTGCGCCATCTTTAAAAAAGTAAAGCATTTCATCGTGCCAAGAGGAGGGATTTGGGGTCTTATTGACACCAGATTTCTCCATAAAGAGTACCTGTCACATGCTCTCTGCTGTCACAAGGGATGTTTACATTGCTTCAAAGTCGCATTAAAGTAGTACTCAAGTTGACAGGAAGTCGCCCGGCAAAGTCGCACTGTAAGTCCCGTGACCTTCAGGCTGCAGTAGTATGAACCAAGACTAAGACATTTTCTAATAAAAAATACTGATTGTTACATTGTAAACAAATAGTGGCAGAAAAGGCCGGGTGCCTACGAAGAGTTAACGTGACCTAGCGCCAGCTTCGGACCCCCCTATCCCCCTCCTTATCTACATCCCAGCAATTAAGAGAAGTTCATTGCTAGTTTACATGCACTTTATATGCATTGATGAATTGGTATGTTGGACGACATGCAACTGAACACACGGCTTTTAAAGATGTCAAATGAAGTTTGTGTGACTTCTTTGGGTTTATTGAGCGTTGGACGTCCAGTATGTAATATCTAGGAGCCCCCCAGGTCTCTGTACCCTTTGGTTGTGTATGAAGCCATTTAGCAAATGTCCACCTTCAAACAATACATTCTCACTAGCAGCGGAGATAATCTGCCTGAGAATTGCTGCGTCTACAGAGATCTCCACAGGTAGGACCATATCGCCGAGTCAGCAGTAAGTGCATTACCTTGGCAGGAGGGCGGAAATATTATTCATGAAGAGATTATGCACATTGCAGCTCTACGCTGACAGCATCTCTCCGGCCAAACGCTGCAGCAGATCGCCCTTTATGGCTTCGGCCCCGTAATAATCATCGAGGATGGGAAAATAAAGGTCGCTGGGTGCGAAAGTGGCGTTACATCGTTACATCGTCAAGTGACTGGAAAGAACTCAACGCCGTCTTGTAATAAACTGACGTAAAAATATCGCATCCGATCGACATCAACCTGGATCAGCCCGATGACAAACCTTCCCGCAGTTCTCCGATTCTCTTTGCTGGGTCATCTACGGGCCAAATGTTACTTTAACCACTTCATGTCCAGACACTTTCACCCCCTTCCAGTCCAGACACTTTCCCCCCCTTCCAGTCCGGACACTTTCACCCCCCCAGTCCAGGACACTTTCCCCCCTTCCAGTCCGAACAAACACTTTCCCCCCTTCCAGTCCGGACACTTTCCCCCCTTCCAGTCCGGACACTTTCACCCCCTTCCAGTCCAGACACTTTCACCCCCTTCCAGTCCGGACACTTTCCCCCCCTTCCAGTCCGGACACTTTCACCCCCTTCCAGTCCGGACACTTTCACCCCCTTCCAGTCCGGACACTTTCCCCCCCTTCCAGTCCAGACACTTTCCCCCCTTCCAGTCCGGACACTTTCCCCCCCTTCCAGTCCGGACACTTTCACCCTCCTTCCAGTCCGGACACTTCCCCCCCTTCCAGTCCGGACACTTTCCCCCCCCCTTCCAGTCCGGACACTTTCCCCCCCTTCCAGTCCGGACACTTTCCCCCCTTCCAGTCCGGACACTTTCCCCCCCTTCCAGTCCGGACACTTTCCCCCCCCCCCCTTCCAGTCCGGACACTTTCACCCCCTTCCAGTCCGGACACTTTCACCCCCTTCCAGTCCAGACACTTTCACCCCCTTCCAGTCCGGACACTTCCCCCCCTTCCAGTCCGGACACTTTCCCCCCCCCCCTTCCAGTCCGGACACTTTCCCCCCCTTCCAGTCCGGACACTTTCACCCCCTTCCAGTCCGGACACTTTCACCCCCTTCCAGTCCGGACACTTTCACCCCCTTCCAGTCCGGACACTTTCCCCCCCTTTCAGTCCGGACACTTTCACCCCCTTCCAGTCCAGGCCAATTTTCAGCTTTCAGCGCTATCACACTTTGAATGACAATTGCGCGGTCATGCAACACTGTACCCATATGAATTTTTTAGCATTTTTTGAGACAGATAAAAACGTTATTTTGGTGGAATTTATTCACCACAGGGATTTAAATTTTTTTTTGCTATATAAACGAAAAAAGTGCAAACATTTTGAAAAAAGTTTTTTTCCTATAAAATTTTGCAAATAAATAATATTTCCTTGTAAATCTTGGCCAAAATGTATTCAGTTATCTTTTTAGTAAAAAAAAATAACCTAAATTAGTTTATAACCAAAAATTATAATTTTTAAAAAATGTTTTTACTTTTCTATTTTTTTTTATATTATTATTATTTTTTTTTTTTACATACTGTCACCCTAGCAGTGTGGGGTCACCATGGTGACATTGTACTACTTGTTGGGGGTGATGATGATTTTTTTTTTTTCTTTTACACTGATTGCTTTTTCACGCATAAAGGATGTAAAATCAATCATTTCTCCTTCTCTCTGGCTGCATTCCTGCAGCCATTGAGAGATACTGTGAGAGTTGTGATTGGTCACAGCTTGTCACATGGTACAAGGCTGTTGTGAATGGCACTGTACCATGTGATCTCTGTGATCATTCACAGATTTCACATGTAGTAAGCAATGATGTCAGAAGTGAAATCTTGCTTACACCTATTCATGTGATCACTGATTGATGATCACACAGAGGTCCCATACAGCAATCTGTGTTCTGCTGTGTCCGGAGGACACAGCGGGCACTGGATCGCGGTGCCACGAGCTCCCATGGAGCACTCACAATCCAAAATGGTGGGTGCCGTGAATGAACGGCAACCCGCCCCTGCACTGCCATCGTCCAGCCGTTAATACACAGCGACTGGATGGGAAGTGGTTAAAGTGTCTCCAGGAGCAACAAAAAATTAGCCCTTGCAATGCCCCCCCCTCCCTTCCCTTCCCGTGCTGCGAGGGTTAATGATTGTAGTGCCCTCTGGGCATAGTTGGTAATGTAGTTAGAAGCTTGTTAGACGCCTGGGTGTGAGCCAGTGAGTTTACTTTAGGTTAGGTTGGAAGGCTTTACAAGTCAGGCCTCTGGTACCTCCCCCTGGTTCTAGAAGCTTGGAGATGTTTCTAGAAGCTAGTGGGTGAAGGCCAGAAGGTGCGGATCTGCATATTTATGGCAGGAGGCCTGGTAAGGTGGCTTAATCAGCCCATAAATATGAGAGAGAGCCTGGCCAGCAGAGGAGTTGGGTGGAAGATTGAGTGCTGAGTTGTGCTGCTGTGTAGCCTTGGAGGGGAACCCGGAAAAAGGGGGCTTCTGCCTCCAGGCTGAAGGTCGAAAGAATGGAAGAAGGAAGTTGACAGAGGGAGCTCCACTGCCCTGCATTCCACTGAGGAAGGACAGCCTGCAAGCCGGGACATAAACCAGCTCAGCGAAAGGCCTGAAAACAGTTTCCTCAAAGGTACAGGACACATGGACAGTGTGAGTACCACTCCACCCCCCCCGGGGGGCTACAGGAGAGAGGGCTGCTAGGTGCCATACCCAACCAGTTCTCCCTGGGACAGTGCTACAAGTCTGTTCTAGAATCCCTTGCTCTGGGATACTCTTCAAAGACAGCCAGGTGGACGGACAGTTTCTAGCTGGGGTCTGAAGAGGTTCATACAGAGAGGGGACCAAGTGCTCCTTACAGAGGCCGTGATGCTGATCCATCAATTGACTGGTGCAGCTCTGGAGGGAGTAGAAAGTCCAGGATCCATCATTTATCTACAGAATTTAGGAAATGTGTCTTCAGGGCAGGGGCGGACTGACAACTTATGGGGCCCCCGGGCAATAGGGGATCATGGGGCCCCTGTGTCCTCACCCACACTCAAACCACACCCAAAAAGCATATGAAAGGTACCAGGGGCATCTCATGGGGCCCCCTACTGACCCCGGGCCCTCGGGCAGTGCCTGAGTTCCCAAATGGTCAGTACGCCCCTGCTTCAGGGGTACTGTTTCAAGTCAAGTTGGACATCCCATATACCCCTAGACTCTATCCAAGATGTTTACCCCAAATAATACAACAAAAACAAGCCCATGGACTTGACTCAGAAGTTGGAAAATGTGTGTTTCCTGGCTGTGCAGGGATAAGGGGGACCCAAAACCAGCGGCTCTCAAGGGGGTAGCGCTACATCATGTCGGAGGCGTGGCCTGGATGAAACCGCATCTACTGATCCTATACTTGGGCTGTGCTGGAGTGCGGCGGTTTTACTTTCTCTTCTCACGAATGCGTACACAAAGCCGAGCTCTTTGACTCCCAACAGTGGGAGTCACCGGAGCCTTGGATGTTTCTCTAGAGCGGCACCCCAAGCTGTGATCACGGGAACTCAGGAACTCATTAAGACATTCGTTATGGTGATCTGAGGGTGCAAGTGGGTGGTCCTTGCATATTCAGAGGCAGGGTTTAGACTGGCCATTCCAACAAGTGGGTGGGGCTGCCCGGTCACTGGACTTGCCTGAGACAGACTATTTGCGGGGTTAGCTGTGTCCCAGGGACCTGGACTGAAAAGTCGGGAAATATTAGTTCACCAAAAAAGAAGAAAAAGAAATGAAAAATGGTTTATGCCGAGACCCGGGCGTACATACTGTAGGTGCAGACTGCAGTACTTCCTCCAACCTGATGTTGGCACCACACCATTTTCTTCAGGTTGGTAGGAATTCAACGGGGAGGAATTGTCTTCTTTCTTGGCCTCCAGGTGGTCATCTTGTGGAGGATGGGGATCCTATTGGATGCTGAAGTCCTACGAGATTTAGGCGGGCATCTTGATGAAGAACCCTCATAGGAGGTCACCATCATTGGACAGTGAAGAAATTAGATAGGGAAAGAGCTCTGCTGTGTACCAAGGAGCTGGACCGGAAAGTCGGGAAATATGATAGTTCGATCCAATGGTTCCACCAGACAGGAAGTCAGGGAAGATCAACACAGAAATAAAATAGGACTTTTTGTCCTTTTTTTGGTAGAGGAAGACTAGAACCCCTGCCAGATGTTTATTGCTTCATGTGCACCTATTGCAAATTTCCCCTCGCTACTTCCTGTCTGGTGACATCATTGTCACTCTAACAGGAAGTGAGGGGAAATCTCCCAAACGGAGCCCTGATAGCAGTTCTAACCCTTCCCCCACCATATAATAAACCACGGGTGTCAAAATGGCGGCCCTCCAGCTGTTGACAAACTACAAGTCCCATGAGGCATTGCAAGATTGACAGTTACAAGCATGGCTCCCAAAGGCAGAGGCACGATGGGACTTCCGCAACAGCTGGAGGGCCACCAGTTTGACACGCCTGTAATATACACACTTCAAAACTTAAAATAAAAAAAATTATAAATGTTACCAAATTCACATCCGTTTCTTTTTTTTTCAATTTCAGGTGTTCCAGCGGAAGTTGTTTCGCAGGAAAGCCAATCCGTCTCCTCCGAGCAGATCAGTCGATTCGCCTCCTAAAGTTTCTTAAAACTGCGTCTGCAAAACGCGGCGAAACAAACTATCCATTAAAAAACAAATTATACCCTGACAGGCAGCCGGCGTTTTCTTGGCTCGGCGAAACACGGAGGTACCCAGAAAACACATCACAATGTTACTAATCCGCGCGGCGCTGACATTTTTTCCATTTTGTCAGCCATGGCAGGGAGGGAAAGGAGGAGGAATTGATGATCTGCAGACATCTGCTGTTACTCATATCGCGCCATTACCGACGCGCTGCCACAAAATATTTTTCTACCAGCGTAATGAGGTCGCGGTGATCCTCAAATCTTTGTAATTTGTAGAACTCAAACAACACGACCAGCGAATTCTATTTGTGTACATTGTAACTATTATTATTAGTAGATGTACTTCATGAAGCTTTACACAAGGAGAAGGATCTTCATCTCCGGACATGTGACTGTCATTGACAAACCTCATTGGCCCCACCGGAAATAACTTACTCTACCTAAAAAGAAGATCTTATTCCTGGTGCTTCAGCTTTTTGAATATTTAGTAGTGCGGCAATTATTTAAATATCAATTAACTATTGTTTAAAATAAAATGTGGATGCACAAATATATATATATATGTATACATAAATTGATGGCACTATATAACTATCTGCAATAAATAAAATATATTAGGAATATTATATATTATAAAAAAAAATGTTAAATAATATATATACTATAATAACTATATAACTATATATATATAACTATATATATATATATATATATATATATATATATATATATATATACTATATATATATATATATATACACACACACACAGCTGTGGTCAAAAGTTTCCCTCCCCCAGCAGAAATTGTGAAATTTTGGCATTGATATTGAAAATCTGACTGATCGTGCCAGAAAATGCTTTTTATTGAAGGATGATGATCATTTGAAGCTATTTATTATCAAATAGCTGTTTGGCTCCTTTTTAAATCATAATAATAACAGAAATCACCCAAATGGCCCGGATCAGAAGTCTCCGCCCCCGGATCAGAAGTCTCCACCCCAGGTCAGAAGTCTCCGCCCCCTTGATCAGAAGTCTCCGCCCCCTGGAATGTTCGGTCTTGGTACAGACACACAAGGGGACACAC